AGCGCCAAACATCACACTAACTTCCCACTTGAGTAATAATAATTTTACTTATAAAACTACGTATTTTTGATTGCACAGTTTCTTGTATCATTAAACGTCGTGTTGTTTTTCGTATTATTTGGTGTCCATATCTTATTTGTCCAGAGAAAAGAAAATTTGGCTTTGTTAATTGGTTGGTGCCCGCCACGATCTCATAAACTCTCAAATGTGCCCGTAGGCACAAAAAGGTTGGGGACCGCTGAGTTATACCTACGTGTTACTATGTTGTATAATGCTGAAACCCTTTCATATCTAAATTCATGTTTTTGTTACTATAATTTATCATTCTAATTAGGAGTTAAGTCATGATTTTGGATATCTAGAAACTGTATCTGTAGGGGTGCCCACGTACTACGCGATTCTATCAATTGAAATGGATTTGAGAGCTCTTGTATTCTTTCACATTATAAAATGAGGTGAGATTTAGAGTTGAAGTTCTCGGACGGTGTTATCACATTGGAATATATGTGTGTTCTCAGCGATTCAGTGGTTTGCCTCTCCATGAGCGCAACTCGGCTTCTGTTTCCGCACCAAAAACACCTGCACCAAACGTTGATAATGAATCGACAGCGGCAACGGTGGCCGAAATGTTTGATGACAATGAACATGAACAGAGACGAAATTCTGAGAGATTTTCTCGAGCTGTTACGCCCCGAGGACGGAGAAATATGGCTCGGAGACGAAAGATCGTTCACAAAACTGCCAAAACTGCACCTGAGGATATGGATGGAGGAGGGTCCTCAAAGGTGAGTTATGTGAATGTAAACAAGTCCTTCCAAGGTGTTGCTGGGTTCGTAATTTAAAGTAGGCCAGCGCCACTACATTCTGTATCTTTTCTAAGCAGCTTTTCAATAATTATCTTATAATTTCACGCTATACTGTATAGTCTGAGGTACTGACAGTGTTGGTAACCAAACCGTAAATAAATAGAATCCTTTCCAATTATTATTCAGTAATCGCCCCCAACATTCAGTGCTTTATAAGTATCATCGTATAAACCCAGAACATGACGTCAATCAATCCAAGACGTTACTGCCATCTCTAAGCTGTATGTTTCATGGCGTCTGAAATTATTAATAATCAGATGCTCCTATTCACTACTGTGCGTGAAATATTACTGACTGCTGTTACGTGTTCCAGGAAGGGTCATGCCGATTTATTGTCAGAGGAATTAATCTGGAGGTGCTACACGAGCTCCACGTTAAATATTAATTTTAAAATGTTTTGCGTTAGCAAGTATACATTTCATATTTTCGAAGGCTTTATGGCAACAGATGTTTTTTAATCTGCTTGTAGGAAAATGAGGACCAAGAAGAAAATACTGTCACCACTCGAATTCCTCATGCGTCCATCTTAGTCAGTAGCAATGGCGCGTCTGATGACGATTCCAGCCAGGATGCTAATTCAAGTTCTGCACATTCATTTCTCCAGCTACACCCTCAGGTAAGCGTGACACACAAATATGTTTGGACGTTGGTTCAGGGAGATGAATTATTTTACCCGGCAGGTATTTGAACCTGAGTCTCTGAGTAAGTTGTTCAATAATTAATTATACTCCCTATGAATTTTTATCAAATGTTTGTGATTTATTGTCCCGTGATATAGCTGCGCGGTCTGAGGCGTCATGCTTCGGACCGGTGACACAGAATGCGCGCTGGTTCGAGTCTCGGGGAAAGAAATTTCTCACGAGCTTTCGACCAGTGTATGGGACCGGTGCCAACCCAGCATCGTGAGGAAATTGGGGAGCTACAATGAGTAGCGTAATCCGGTCATGAAAACTAGCAATGGCTGGGGGTTCGTCGTGCTGACCACATGTCACCCTGTATCTGGTTGGATGATCGTTCACCTCTGCTTAGGCATGTGAACGTGAGGCAAGCAGCCAGCTAGTCGGCTTTGGCTCTTTCATAACCCTTTCCTGTCTCGTAGTAAGACGATGTTGAAATAACTGTGATTTTTCAGGAACGTGGTCGATCTCCTTCTCCTTCTCCCAGCCCTTGTACGCCACCTTTGGATCTTGCAACTCTCCATCAGCAAGTGGACTGCAATGAACCACTGACGAGCTTCAGCAATTGGAGTTTTGCTCACAGACAACCTGTAAGGAGACATTAATTCTTGATGAAAGTAAAAAAGCATCAGGCAACAGATGTAATATCATATGGGAAATAAATTATGTAATTTTTTTAAACAATCGAGTTTAGTCGCTCCGATGTTTTTAATATATTTTTTAATTCAGTCATTAGTGGTCCATCACTTCACATGGAAATCAAAATTAATTAGACACTTAATATTCACGAATTAAGATGCTCCGGGCTACATTTATAAAACTGGATCGGATGAGTACTTTCTATCGCGTGAAAATAAATATTTTGATTAAGTTATAAATGGAATCGAAGCGACAGCATATTCGTTTGACTAATGTTGGTGGTGGCAAGTTTCCGAAAATTGTCAAGATCGTTTTCTGATGCTTTTAGGTTTAGATTTTAATAAACAGTGGAATTATTGGTGTATGAATGATATTAAATTATGATGATAATTTTATATAAGGAAACTGTTTCTGAGAATATAAATTGGATTCATCTGTCTCTATATATAGTCGTCTGGTATGCTTATCAGATGATGTGTTCAGTAGCAGCAGCGAATGAATATCCTGAATAGAAAACATGTATCGTCTGCATCAGGAAGGATAGGATTACTTTTCCACCTTAAATAAGAATGACAAATTAAAATGGGCACTCACTTATTTTGTTATAACATTCATGTTACACTAGACAACAAATTTTAATGAGTTAAATATATCGGAAATGAAACTAATCAATTCTTATGTGTTTTCGTCCGCTAAATTCGACAATAAAAAAAGCTTAGTTTGCGTTTTGAAGATATTTTGTAATTTGTGAAATATCACCAATAAATTTGTCCGTATGATATGCAAATGTTTAAAAATTTTCACCTACCTTATAGACATTGTCGTTTGGCCTTTTTTCTGTATTTTAACTCAGGGGCATCTCTTACCACCGACCAGCAGTAATCAGCTATCATTGATGCGCTTCGTTTCCCCAGATAACACCTTTTAAGAGTAGAAATATCTTGGTGAAATCGTTCGCCACGTTCATCACTAACCGATCCAAGATTATGAGGGGAAAAAAAGCCAAGTGAGAGTGGAGGAAATGCATTTTAAGAGACACATTGCACCCCATTTTACTGTTTGCTTTCAACAATTTGTCTGCTAATTCCCTATAGTTTGGCGCCCTGTTGTTTCCAAAAAATTCCTAACAACGGACTTGAAGGATTCCCATGCAATTTTCTCCTTTCCCATCAAAATGTCATATGGGGGAGAAGGGGCCAATTTTAGTGCACTTCAAAACCAATGTTCAGATAACTGTAAAATATGACGAACACAAACAGTATGAACCTTCCCTTATTTAGAATATTCTGTATCCCACAAAATTAGAATTTACGTAAGCAATAACCTTTCTTTCACTTCACTGAACTGTACATGTGTTAGTAATGTTGCTGCCTGTTGCGGGAATATTTTTCTTCGTATTAAATATTAGTTGCCTGTATGAATATACTTCAGCACGACTTAACAGACAGAACATAAAAAGACGAAACAGACTCGTGGGTAGCAGTTTTATTGAACACGCACCCTTATGCTGGAATCACACGCTAGCGAAACTGATGAGACTTTGGCAGCCAGCAGGATTGTGCAGTGGAAACATGGGCCATTGCAAGAAGTGTATTTCCCCTGTGAAGCAGATATTTTGACGTATAATAAACCTGACATTGAAGATTTCTGTCTTCTGGGTTGTTGCGCTGTGTAGTCTGGTCAAGCCCCACCACCACGACAAGGTACTATTAAGTGAGGGTATATTTTATTTGTGTTGAGTAGTTTCTTTTTATATCGTGTTTACAGGAAGAAGAACCAGCAAGCAGTCAAGTAATGCTTTCCCCACGAAACTCCATGATTCTTACCAGACGGGTTTACTTGGATCCCAGCGTACCACCTTCACCACCAAATGAGCATAATGTTTCAGTCCCAAGAAAGTCTGGAGTGTCTGGCCAATTGGACAGTGAGAGCAGACTCAAGACACTCTCGAAGCAAATCAATAGGTATATGGAAATATAATTGTTATTACTGTACACATGGTTTTCTGAGAATTTATTTATCTAGACGAGTGACAGCCAAATCTGCTGTAGTTGAAACTCCTGTCGTGGTTTGCCGATGCTGCTTTACGGTGATGGCTGCTGGGGTAACTTGGTTGGACTTCATTTTATGGGTTACTGTTATGAAACCATCGGAGTCCACAGACCTGGAATTTCTTACGTTGCAGACCAGCTGACAAATGTCCCTGTAGGATTAACTCCTAACTTAACAGAAGTTGCAACAGTTGACATAGCTCTGTGTGTTGGAATGTCGGTAACGGCAGCTGAAGTCAGTGACCTGCAATGTGCTGAATTGGATGTCTGTACCAACGAAATAGGTACAGTGGCACTAATCTTGGATATAGAAGATTTTAGAAATTCATGATCTTTCCTGAGTTCTTGTACCTCTTCAGAAAGCTTTTGACAAGATTTCTTGTATTAACCCAGTTAAGCCCCACAGTCGGCACTGAGTGACTAAGGGTCTTCGGGCTCGGCAGAATGATTTCCCTTTCTGCTCAGATGTCTAAACGGATCGCATGCTATGAGTAGGAGTGTTCTCGTCTTGTGAGCAGAGAAGAGCCTTTACACAATCAGCACACTTAACCCTTTGCCGCGGAGATTTAAAGTCCGAGCTTGGGGTAATACATTCTTAGTGTCCCTTTAAATTTTGCTCTAAAATATTCTATTTATCATAACTTTGGAACTATATGAGATATAATTAAAAAATTTTCACTGAAATCCTCTTAAAAGATGGTTTTATTATCTTACCTTATAAGATGAACGCCCTGTGTGTGAGCAGTGTAAGGATGTGG